AAGGTTGAGAAGCACTACTCTACAGGAACAGAGAAGGGAATTCCATCCCTCTCTCCTCACCCTGGGAAGACGGTAGGGCCAACAGCTCCCTTACTGCTGCTTCAAAGAGCCAGCAGGCAGCCAGCTCTTTGGACAGGTCTGTCAGTCACCGTTAGCCTTGAAAGCTAATGGAAACTCCACAAACGGGGGCAGTATAGCATTATAGAGTGGAGGCAGAAAAGAGGGGAGGACAGGTGCCTTTCTGCTTCATCAGAGAATTTATTAAGAAGGCTGTACCTCCCCAACCTGCTGTTGAATCTTAGGCTAACTGCAGATGGTGAGAGCTGCAGTAAAATCGCTCTCTGCAATCATAGACAAAATGCAGGCTTATAAATTTATTCTAGATTGAAATGCATGTGGCATTTACATTTCTGAAAATGCAGGGCACTTAGAATAAATTCCCTGCATTTTCAGAAGCTTCTTACATATATCTAAGAAATTTAGCTGTTTGTTAGAAGAGCGCATGAAACCACCAGCCAGTTATTTCTCAAGATACCACAACATTGTTTCTCCTAACCCTCATCAGAACTTCACCACTATTGGGGGAAAACACTTACAATTCAGGTAAGCAAAGCTGGGAGGTAAGATCTGGTACCTTACTGCAAGATCACCTCTTTTCCATTAATTGTCTTTGCAACTAAAATGCTGCCTTTTCCCCAGAATCTCAAGCAGGCAGGGGAGAAGATCCCTGAAGTCGAGGAGCCTTTCTGTACGCTATCGTATCCTCAGCCTTTTGTAATGTCACTTAGAACATTATTGGGAGATGAAAAAAATTCATCTCTAGCAGCTTACATAAATAATCACTGATGCAGTTCCAAGAGGATGGTATTATTCTACTAAATTGGCTGATGCCGCTCAGCAAGCTGGCAGCTGCGCTGTGCTTCTGCATCTTCAAGGGCAGCCTTAGGTAGAGCAAACTGCAGCGGTTACAGGAGAAGGGCGTGAGTTGCTCTCTTCAGCATCTCCTGGACCCAGGAAGGTTCACAACTGGTGGACCCGCCTAAGCTGGCCAAAGATTTCCTGGGCATGGCCTCCATCTGCACTCCAGCAGGAGCCACCCACTCGGGAAAAATCCGATGGCACACCAGACGCTTCGGGGGCAAAACACCTCCAGCTCCAGCAACAGCTGGAAACTCCAGGGAATCAGAAGCTTTCTACAGAAGCAGTGACTCCATCTTACTGGGACTGGGTCTCAGATGGTTCTTCCCTACCCAGGCCACGAGTCAGGGCATCTCCCCCATCTCCTGCCTGGCTAGGAGTGGAGGCGTAAAGTTGGCCTCAGCAGCAAGCTGAGGCTTCATCCCAGTCCAAGGGAAGGCCTCTCCCAGTGGCTTCACTGACATAGTAAGCAAGAGGGAGGGAGATGGCCAAGCCCTGGAACACCACACACTCTTATTACTATGTTATCCGTTTTACCTAACCCAGACACTTAGAATCTAGCGAATCAGGCCTCATACCAATTTTTGTACTATGCAACTAAAGTACTGGCTGCATAACTGGGGGTCAGGGTTCCAGAAGACACCTGTTTAGCCTCCACGTTTAAAAATGGAAAAAGGCAAATCTGCAGGGGAGGCTTTAATTTGGATTCCTGCACTGAGCAGGGCATTGAGCCAGATGGCCTCAAGAGCCACTTTCAATTCATTCCTTTTGTACTTACGGAGGGAAGAGTTTAATAGCAGCACCTGATCAAGTGAACTGAGTGTCTTTCCATGGTAACACCCTGGCACACTGGGCCATTTGCTGGGGGCAAGCCTGGAGTGTGAGGGGTGGTTCCACCTGCCCACACTCTGGGCAGGGGGTTGGACTAGATGGTCTTGCAAGTCTTTCCCACCCTTTAGATTCTAGGATTCAAAGCAAGAAACAGCTGAAGTAACTTCTGAAGGCATTCAGATTTAGTGGACTGCCAATAAAACCTTTTTTGGTATATAAAAAAATATTTAAAATACTTTTTATCACTCTTAGAAGCCAGTCAAAATGGCACAAGCAAACAGAGAAAAACGAGGCACCGGTGCTGCTGAAAACAGCCATCAATAAGATTCAGCTGCAGCTTAGGACTGCACAGCACGACACCAGGGGTACCAGCACTTCTCTAAAATTAGGCATAAGCAGAGGCCAAAAGTCCACTCCACTTTCTAAGATTTAGAGTATTAAAAGCAGACTGGTTATTTCTGCTAACACCTTTTAAAAATTCACAGCTTCAAAGCTTAAGAAGAATGGCAAAAAAGCCTACTTCTCTTTCAAACAAAATAGCTTCAACAGAGAGGCCAGATCAAATTTTCAGGAGGGAGAGCAAAGAAAGAGACACATCGCTAACCAAGCTCTAGGAATCAAGGTAGACATTCAGATGGATGATTATGGGCCATCAAAATGGTGTCAACTTTTAGCAACCGCATAGATTTTCTCCATGATGTTCTGCCTCCAACCTGGTCCCTCAGGTCTTCCAATGGTACCCCCTCGCCACTGTAACTGAGTCCCTCCACCTCGCTGCTGGTCCTCCTCTTCTTCCCTTTCCTTCCCCCTTTCCCAGCATCAGAGCCTTCTCCAGAGAGCTGGGCCTTTGCACAATGTGTCTGAAGTAGGATAATTTGGGCCTGGTCATTTGTGAGAACTCTGGGTTGGATTTGTTCAGTGATCTATGGGTTTGCTTTCTTGGCTGTCCACAGTATTCTCAGGAGTCTTCTCCAACAAGATACTCAGAACTCTCTGAAAAATGGTTGATGTATCCAGTAAAAATAAGGAATGAGTATGTTTTTGTGTTTTAAAAAAGAGATGATTCCTTGGAGATTGCTTTTCAGCATTTAGACTGTTATTTCTGTAAAATACAAAACCACTTTAAAAAATCTCTCTTGTATTCTGAAAAGTTTTTTTTTTAATGTATATTTATTTATTTATTGTTAAACTTGTATGCCTGGAGGAGTATACTTGCAGGACACTCCTCCAGTTACTTCAGAGGCTTCAGTGCTAATTAGGACTTTGTTCTGAAGATCCAAATCACATTACAGATCCCAGCAAATTCAGATTTAGTCTCTCTAGTCCAAGCAAAGGAAATGGAGATTGAATCCATTCTGGAAAGAGGTAAGCTAAAACACGCCAGGCAAATATTGCTCAGGGGCAATTAAACCGTCTTCTGTTTGTCAGTACTGAACTCCAGAACGTTTTTGTGACTTACTGATCGTGCCATTATAACGTACTGGGCACTAAGCAAGCACCAGTTGAGACATTAATTCTGATTGAGGTAAGAAGGCCGTGAAAAGGGAAGGAGGAAGTTCAAGTAGCATATTCAGAGGATTCCTTGATTCAACTATGGGATTTTCTGAGAAGTCACTCTATTCTTCCAGCTCAGACTATAAAAGAATGGCACCAGGGTGAATTTACCAGATGCACGCTTGCTTCCAACTGGGTTTAGTGTTAAGCTGAGTTGTGTGTCACGAAACCCAACGCATATTGTCCTCTCTGTTACAATTCATCTCGCAGCTTTGGTGGGTAGTCCATGCCAAAAAAGGAGGATGGCCTCCTGTGCACATCCCGCTCCCGTTTCACAAAGGCAGTAAAAGAGGAAACGCAGTTGCCAATAAAATGATCAGACTGGCCAAGAATATACAGATCTATCTGGGCAACTTCAGGTTGCAAATATACCACTTTTATCTGCAATGAGAAAACAGGCAGAATGCATCATTTACACTGTTCCTGGAAATAAGGGACCACAAACGAATAGCAAATGTGAGGTTCAGAGGTCCATATCACCTTAGAGCCAGGATTTCTGACAGCAGCCATCCCCAATCCACTGCACCCCCGATGCATTGTAGAATTACTTAATATTCATTTCCTAATATCAAACGCGAAAGCTTTTTTTCTACTGGGGTTGGTCTTTTATTTAGTCACTTTTCAAAACAATTATCTTCCCTTAATGGTTTATACTATAATCCATTTCATTCAAGATTAATAGAACAAATTTGTAAGATGTAAATTGTGCTGGATTGTGTCTGGGTGTGGTTTCTGCTGTTTACTCTTTCATTCTTTTATAATTATTATATTCTGTTTTTATGTTGTTGGTTTTGGGCGTCTAAATCAAACAAATTAAATTAAATTTTGGGGCATGATCCAGCCTCAAAATGGTGAGTTTTGCACAACTATACATAAGCTCAACCTCTGCAGAGATAAATACAATTTTCTTTGGTTGGGATGGAGATTACCTTTTGTTTGAAAAACTGCTGTATTTCTTTGGTATAGGGCTCAGAGTCAGTGGCAACGTACACGGCTTTTGCATCTATCTTCTTCACCCAGAGTTTGAGGGCTCGCTTGATCTCTTTCAGGTCTGGCAAACACATATCCATGGTCAGGGGCGCAGCGGTATTGCGATTGTAGCCCACACATTGTGGTGACGCCATTAAATGGGACCCAGCAGTGCCCTCCTTCAACATATTGCATGCATTTTTCTAACAGAAGACAGAAAGAAGGGAGGGTAACACGGTCAATACTGGCTGTTAGTCACGGTATCTATGTCATTAACTTCAGGGGTTAATGATTTTGTACTTCCTGATACCAATGGGGAACATGAGGGGGAAGGTACTCCTGCACTCACATCCTGCTTGTGGGCTGGCTCTAGCACCTGGATGGACACTGGAGAAAAGAAGTTGGAGGAGAAGGCAGCTTGTTGAAGTCTGACATTAATACTTGGGAAAACCACACAGTATATCATAAAGGGATTGATTGGTTAGCGCTTTGGAAAGAATGCAGTGATTCCCCAAAGTCAGCAAGGGTTTGTCAAGAGTGTCTGACCAGACTGACCCTATCCCTTTCCTGGTTGGTTGAACTAATTGCTTTAGTACACCGTGGCATGTTGTGGGCCTAATATAGCCAATCCTTTATTACAGTCAATGAGCAGATGTCGTAATATATCTTCCACTTCAACAAAAGCATCTGACAAAGTATTCCGAGATATTCTGACTAGCAAGTTAGTTAAGTGTGAGCTGGCTGGTCTATCTCTCAGTGTACTAAAAAATAGTGATTGACGGCTTCTCATCAAACTGAAATGATGTATCGACTTTGGTCCTAGGCTGGCACTCCTTCGATTTTTGTCTTAATTGCTTGGATTAAAAAAAAAATGGAGGGAACGCTTATCAGATTGGGAGATCAATCAAAACTAGGTGAGGCAGTTCAAATCCAGAAGACAAGTAACAACTAAAAATACCTGAGAAGTAGGCAGAAAATGACTCTATGATATTTAATAAATGCACAATTCTTCACTAATGGAAAGAAAAAACCCCAAATACACAAGTATAGGAGGTAGACGGGTGTGGAACGCTATGTACAAAAAGGATATTGAGATTGTAATTGATCAGGTGGTGAGACATGGCTGCTAAACAGCAAAAGCAATTTTGGGCCAAATCAATAGAAGTCTAGGAAGCACAACGCACTGAGTCCTGCATCCAGTTAAGGGCACCACATTTTAAGAAAAAAGCGGCAATGAAGATATAGTCAGAGGATGCTGAAGCTCCCAGGCTAACAACTTGACTCTCTCCCTCCTCCCATTTAACATCTATGGGCAACTGCTGGGTGAGACCTGCTGGCACATATCAGTATGCTGATGACACTCAGCTGTACATCTCTACCTGGCTGTCCAGGCACTTTACCAGCGCCTGGAGGCTGCGTGTTCTGGATGGGGAAGAACCGGCTTAAGCTCAACCCTGACAAGACTGAGTGGCTGTGGGTTTAAGGGCTTCCTGTATCTGATGATTTCCCATTGTTAACTTTGAAGGGGGTTACGTACCCCCAGGCAGAGTTGGTGCTCCATCTGGAGGTCCTCTTGGACTCATAGCTCCTGCTTGAGGAGCAGGTGGCAGCTTTGGCCAGGAGGGCCTTTGCACAAATGTATCTTGCATGCCAGTTGTACTCATTCCTGAGGCCCTGACCACAGTCACTCACTGCAATACGCTCTACACAAGGCCACCCTTGAAAAGCATTCTGAAGGCATTCCAGTAGGCTTCTGGGTGCAATTCAAGGGGCTGGCTGTCACCTTTAAAGACCCCTTGTCTTTAATGGCATGGGGCAGATTACTTGTGGGACTGCCTGTCCCCTGGATCTGGCACAGTGGGCATGCTCTGGGTCCCCTTAATGAGACAGTGTCACCTGGTGGGCCTAGGAAGCACGCCTTCTTTGTCATGGTACCTGCCCTGTGGAACAACCTCCCCACAGAGATACAGACAACCCCAACCTTACTGGCCTTTGGAAGGCCATGAAGACCTGGCTCTTCTGCCAGGCATTGGAGCCAGGCTGTTAGTTTGGGAGCTCCAGCATGGGTGCCTGGCGTAGGCGTTTGGCCTTTTTAATGAGAGGGCCCTGACCCCGGTTTCTGGTTGTTTGTTTTATTGCTGTTTTATACGATATGTTCACCACCCAGAGTTTTGCCTTACTAATTTGATTAATAATAAAAACAGGTTCTTACAAGTTCTCTCTTGTCTTTGTCATTGGTGTGTAACCGAACACAAACACAATCATGGGAAACAGAACTTCTATGAGGCTCTGTCAGTCACATACCCAGTCTGAACCCACACGCAAATGGATTCCCACGTAGGGTCTGATTAGGAGTGAATTAATATAGGACTCTCCTTTATCCACCATCTCATCAGACCACACCACATAGCGCTGCAGGGGCCGGTACTCTTCCAGAACAGGAAACTGGGCTGGTGCACCCGGAAGGGCAAGGATAGGATGTTCAGAGGGTGGAAACCTAAAAGAAAACAGAACAGAAATAGAAACATGGTGATTCGTTCTTTTCTTCCTGGTGGTCAAAGGAAAGAAAGAGCTGCCAGCCTGGCTGAAAGTCTGAACCAAGTGACAGGAAAACTCCAAAGCACAGAGATCTTTTAATTGAATGTTTTGGTGGAGGCAAACCACTCTGAGCCTTCAGGAAATGAGCAGCAGCAGATAGAAAAATCCCTACATTTCCTATACTGTCAATGTTACCTAGTATGGTAATAAAATGTTTGCAATCCAAAAAGCTAGCTCAGGTCACAAAGAGAGGAATGAATAAATAAACAGTTTCGCTCGGTAGATATCAAGCAAGTAACTCCAGCAACTGGCAGAAATAAGCTACGCCACCATCTTACACAAGGAACGAGATGGGAAATAATCTTCAAAGCTCAACTTGCAAAGCATCTTGCTTGGTGGAAATATGCAGGAAGGCATTCCAATGAATGATATCGGCAGAGACAGGTCAAGCCAGGGATTCCCAGTTTGGAGAGATGAGGTCTGCGCTTGGTCTTTAGGTGGCTTTCTACTCTACTACCATATAATCTGAGAGATAATATGCAGTCTGGCCACAGATCTTCCCTATTCTCACTTGTTAAAAAGGCCTCAATAATGGATCAATCCTCCCGTGAAAGAGGATACCCCAAACTCAAAGCACCACTAAAAGTTCCTATGCAGTTCTATCAGTTTCCTGGAAAACAGAGGTAAATAAGGAAAGAGAACTTATAACACAGTTTATAAAAATATTATTTGTATATTTTTATTACTGCAGTTATGGAATTTGGCTTAGAAATACAGAGCAATTCTCCAGACACCCTGCAGTGCTTTGGGGGGTGGGGGTGACCTTGTTAAGAAACCAACACTAAAACACACTTCCTTGTAATTTAATCAGGAGCGAAAAACTTTGCAGAGAGTCAACATATTAAAACTTATTATGCTTCTTTACTGCCCAACATTTGGCTGAAACCAAAACAACTCTAGTGGAAACCCAGTCTTTCTTCTCCCAGCCTCAGTGATAAATTAATGCTGTATTAATGTGCCTTGTTTTAAAAAAAAAAAATTGCTATATTTTGCTGATTCAGGGTGGGAAGGCAGGATGCGTGCCCCTCTAATCTTACTATGAATAGACTGCCTACCCAGGATCCTGCCCCATGAGCAATCCCCAACTCATACTTGCTACCTTTGGTTCCAGTCGTCCTTATAAAAGGCACTGAAGGAGAGGCCTCCAAACAGCTCCGACCTATCAAACTCCACAGCAAATTGATCCCAGAAAGGCCCAAAGGGGTTTCCATCCTGCAAAAACAATGGGGGATGTTGATTCATGACAGCAGACCAAGGCAGAGGCAGGAGCTCTTTCCCAGCATCTCAAGGCCCTCTCCTGAGATCTGCACACCTGTTTGACAGCTAAACATGGATAAAAAACACTGCCAGAAACGATTTGCAAAACACACTGTTTGGGACACAACGGCCAACGAAATGGAATGGCAACGTGAGTAGAAAAGTTCTTGAATTTGCCCAGATCCTCAGGAGAGGGGAGGACTCCTACCTTCATAGGACAGGTCTTTTTGTCAGCGCTTCTCTGAGCTGCAACTTCAAAGCAATATGCCACTCTCTTGCCAGGAGGCCAGTGGGTAGGTGCCAGCTTCTCCATAAATTCCTCCAAGCTAATGACTCGGTGGTATTTTAGAAGAGGTGCCAGCTTGAAGTATTCTTTGTACGGAACATGCAGCTACAACAAAAAAGAGACCCACGTTTACACAAATACACTGAATGCATAATTACGGAACAATAACAAATCCACATCACAGTAAAGGAAAAACTGCCCGCTTCCAATTCAAAGAGGACAAACGGGCAAGTTGGATATACTCCTGCGCCAAATATTTTGCCCTACAAAGGGAGCTTGCAACGATCTCCGCAGGTACATCAAGAGCTTTGAGTCCCATCCAAACAACTAACGACGACTCACATTTGTGTAGGGCGGCCTGTGATGCCGGTACTCAATCCAGGGAGGCACAGCTAAAGTCCGATTCATCGTCTTTGCAAACGCCAAAGAGCCCAGGAAATGGTCCGCCTGATTCCCAAATCTCCCTTGGAACAGAACGGAAAAGACCGTCTCTTACTCGCTGGGCAAGGAAAGGGCGGCGGGCCTGGACGGGCCTCACCGAGACTCTTCTCCTCTCATCGAGCTGAGCTGAGCTGAGCTGAGCGGCTGAAATTAAAGAGCTCTCAGGTCAAGCTGAGCAGGTGGGCGGCCGTGCAAACTGCACGACCGACCGACCGACCGGTCTTCAGATTCTGGTGCCCCCCTCAGCCACAGAAGCCCCCTGGGGGCTCCGGGCCAGGCCCGCTGCTTCTCAGCCCCCCGCCCCACCTCACAGGGCCGTTACGAGGGAGCGCTGGG